CTGTGTGCTACTACTGTGCCTTTTTTTTCTATTACCTGTACGATGCTGCTGGAATTTTGATTTCCCTGAAGGAATCTTCCTAAGGGATCAACAAAGTTGAATCTAATCTAATCTAATTCCATTTAGGTTTACATATTTTCTATTACCATTGTGTTTTAGTTTTATTACATGATTAAATTTTACAGAAACAGTAAGTTCTGGGGGTTACTGTTAAATTTCAGTCACAATTATAGAAACTGCGTTTTGCACTTGAATGTAAGAGACTGGATGAGCTGCAGGGGCTACTGGGTAGTCTTGGGACAGAAATGAGTGGACTTTTTTCACGTTTGATGGGTTGTCCCTGTTAGTTCTGTTTAGTGTTGGGCTGGCATGGGTTTATATTCAGGTTAGTGACTGCAAATGTAACACCATAAGTGAAATGCTGATGTATAAAAAGGGGAAAAGCACTTCCTGTTCACTGACTTACTGAATTGTGAAACTAAAAGTAAAGTGATGTAATCCCTGACTTTGTAGTGTTCGACACCACAATAGTATATTAAATTTTGCGAGTCACACAGGCATAAAATCTTGCCTCGGAATGTCAGAACGTTCAGATAATCACCACACACACACCAGGGGGTTAAGAAAATAAAAGCTTTTTATTCATTCATTTGAGACTCCGAAAACAAGGAGGTGAAGAATCCTGAAAACAGAACTGAACGCCAAAGGCAGTTTATAATCCAGATTCCATCACAGTGGGGGAGTGGTGGCGCAGAGGTTGGAGAAGAAGGGCCTGTGATCGGAAAGTTGCAGGTTCAACTCCCCGGACTGACATAAAAAAATGTGGGTGGGAAAGGTGAAGCACCCACACCTGCCTCCACTCTCATTTGCCTTGAGCAAGGCCCTTAACCACCACAATCTGCTCCCAAAACAGGTCTCTCTGACACTACCTGTATAAAACAAACACCCTCTAGAGGTGAACAACCAACATGTAGGTTAGGGGATTCATAAATCTGCCTTCTCCTATAAAACCAAACCCTTCCATCCTTGTCCCCCAGCTAAAACAGAGGCCTACAGTAAAGATAATACAAGTTCACTTAGCTCGCCCAGCAGGCAAGACCCCTCTTCGGGGTTTGAGCTTATGATGCTGTCCAACACCCCAGAGACTGACTTGGCTGGACAACGACCAGATCATCTGGTCTGGCTCCACACCAGGTCCAAGCACCCCACAGGAGCTCAAGCAAGATGGTGACCACCTAGCTAAAGCGCACCTCCCCTCCGCACACAGGAACACCTAACCACCTTTCTAGCTGTGTTCTTCATTGGCCGCCCTAAAAGACTTCAAACTACACCCCCCTCCAAAAGGATGCTGCCACAACCACTGAACCACTCTCTCTGGTTGTGAGACCTTTATTCAGTGCACTGCTCCTCTACTGATTGCACACACTTGTCCTTGATTAGTCTCTTTATCTCCTCTGATGAGTCTTGTCCAAGCACATCACCATATCCTAACTGGAGGCCCAGCTCTGATGGTCATGGTTCACCACTGGTCAGAGTCACCTCCAGCTGTCAACAGGTGAAAGATGGTGCACACCCTGAATGGTTCACCAGTCCGTCACAGCGTCACATGAAGACAGCCACATTAAACTAAAGTGTATTGAGAGGTTAGAGAGTGAGGCTGCGATTGAAAGTTCGCTGGTTCAAATCCCCCTGACTGTAAATTACATTTTCATTAAAGGCTAAGCCTCAGCGTTGTTTAATACTGAGTAACAAAGGAACACGTGCACGCTCGGGGCTCAGATGTAAACATGCTTATTGGCGTTCTTTGTGCAAGCGTTAAACCTGTTTGGATTCGACTCGAGTAAGCCGGTCTGTTCTCTTGATTTGTGACTGCCGTGAATAATTTGTTTCTGCTGGAGGACGTGGCAGCAGTAGATTGTCTTTTAAAGGAGTAACAGTGGACGATTTGGACATTAATGTCCCAGATATGTGCTGCTTTTTAAAACACCTCTCAGAAGTTACGTGTTTTACACTCATCTGGCAATTTGGCGTATGATTAGTTGTTAACTTTCATGTCCAATTTTGTTTCATCTAATGAAAAATTGGCAAATTGATTAAAAATGAAGTTAAATTACCATATTTAATCGTTTGCAGCACTTTGATCATTCCATCTCGCTACAATAAATCTAATTAATTGCATTTCTGACTTTTTTATGGCTGTAAACTTAAAATGAGCTATAAATGACACAATATATATTTTACAATCTGCACACCTATATTAGGACTGTGAAATGGTTTATGGTTTGTTATTATGCCTTTAGATATTCAGCTTGCAGTCAGCCATTGTGTTTATGGCCAGTACCAGAACCAGAACCAGGATTAGGCCATTTCCACAAAAACATGACAGTTCTGGTTTCAACACTCAGAGTCCTGCAACTTCTGTCCAGTATTTGCCTTTTAGTTTTATATGAGGTTATCCAATGATATTAAACTCTAAAGTTACACTTCCAGGTCAAAGGTCAGTGTCAAAGACAAAGCGTGAGTCATTTGTCTTTGACACTAAGCACAAGCAATAAACATTACGTTGTCTTGTAAATCATCTTACGACAAGAAGCTCTTTACTGCCATAGTTGAACGCTCACTGGAGGAAAACTCTGTTTAGTGTTTAATCTCATTACTAGCAAAAGCTAACATAAATCTAAGATTTGCGGTCTTGTAAAGAAGTGTCTTAAAGAACTCTTTAAGAATTATTCCTTGAAATGTTGTAATAAATTACCAGAGGACTTTAGTAATTACTCTTTCTGACTGAGTTGAGTACAATGCCTCTGAGTTTTGTCTTTCTTCATGTAAGTTTTTTTTCCTATATGTTGTGTTCTTACTGTGTTTTTAGAATGACTGCTGCCTTTAATGGTTTTTACTATAAAATAAAATCTGACAGTAGGGTTCCAGATATGTGGCTCTTAATAGCTCTCATTCCAAAGCCAACTGTTAAAAAAAAACATAATCTGTTTAGTATATTTGAAGCCAGATTCAAACATAGTTTGATTTTGATGATCTAATTGTGTAGTTGTATATCCATCCATCCATTATCTTTTAACCGCTTTTTCCATTTTGGGTCAAGGGGGTCGCCGGTGTTCATGTCCAGCAATCACTGTGCGAGGGGCGGAGTACACCCTAGACAGGTCTCCAGTCCATCACAGGGACACGTAGAGACAAACGAGACAAACAACCATTCATTCTCTCACTCACACCTAGAGACAATTTAGAGTTTCCAATCAGCCTAACATGCATGTTTTTGGTCTGTGGGAGGAAACCAGAGTACCCGGAGAAAACCCATTCATGCACGGAGAGAACATGCAAACTCCACCCAGAAAGACCCCCAGACCGGGATTTGAACCAGGGGCCTGCTCGCTGAGAGGCAGCAGCTCTACCAGTTGCGCCACCATGCTCAAATGATTGGGGTGGCTGGTGGTGTAGCCAAAGATCGATCAATTTAAACCAGGGGGTGGCCCATGGTGGCCTTGGCCACGCCCTGGCTCTGCCATTGCACCTGGGTGTGGATAAAACGTCTCCCTCCACTTGCCAGAATTCGTCACTCTGCACTGCCTCGCACAAAGACAAAAAAACTCCCTGATCTTCTCCACAATGTAACTCCTCCCCACAAAAACATTTTCTGTTTAATTCTAGTCCAGAAAAACACTTGTCTCCAAAACTACAAACATGCACTATTCAATTCCTTTAGTGACTAACAATGGCGTACCCCTTGTTCATATCGTCTTTGTCTTAAATAAACTCAGAATTTACAAAAAAATCGAGGGCACATCCTGTTTTTGTCCTCCTTCCTTCTAATGAGACAAGATGTTTGTCTAGGTGACTTGCCCCAGTTAGAAGTGTGAAAATGCCACAGAGCCATCTGCGGCAGAGACCTATTTGAATTTCATACGTGTTGAGCTGCTCTTGATGCCTCGACATGAAAGCCCCCACGTCTCTCCTCAACCACGACAGCTGGCCTCGTGAAATGGGCTCATTGAGCTGTGAGGTACAAAGAGACACTACAGCGCCTGACAATCACGAAATGCATCAGACAGATGCCAGGCTGCCTCACAACAAGAGCAGAATAAATACAACTACCGAGTATGTCCACACAGGCCTCGGTGGAAGGGTCTCTGTGGGAAGTGCAGACGAGTTTCTGTAGTTTGATTTCCTTCACTGAGAGGGTGACACAGATTTATCTCATGGGAGTTTCTCAGCTAAATATAAATAAATATATAAATATCATATAATATCATAAATATAAAAGCCGATACCATGGTGCCGGATTATTAAAATTACTGATCTGCCACTCAAAAATTAAAATAAAGAAAAGAATACCAATCTAACAATTTACAGACACTTTTTTTTTGTTGCTTTTTTAATTTAGAAAATTAGAGTTAGATTGATATTGTTCTTCTTTAACAATGCTGATACTTATTTTTAGGAACATGGCAGCTGATGGCAGATACACCATCCATTTTTTTGTTCAGTATGTATTTTTTATTGAATGAAATATAACAATAACTGCTTAACTTAAATAAATGTATATTTAACAACCCTTAGATAAACATGTACACTTATACTCTATTTACATATCTTATTTAAAATATATATGATGAGGACTACAGTAGGGTGGTTGCTTCTGCATCTTTACTGTCCCATGTTGCAAAGAAAAGTGGTAGGAATTGAAAATACCCTCCATCTGTTGGTCCGTTCAACCATGTTCAACCATGTGACATTTTATTTGGCTTCTATTTTCTCTATTGCTTAAAAAGTATAGTTTCCTCAAATGATTGGGGTGGCAGGTGAGGTGACCAAAGAATAAATCTATGGTGGCCAAGGCCCCTATTTGCCACCCCCTGGCTCCACCACTGCACCTGGTGGATAAAATTGCTCCCTCCACTCGCCAGGATCAATCACTCTGCACCTCCTTGGACAAGAAAAAAGCTCCCTCTGTTCTCCACAGTGCAACTCCTTCACACTTGAATATTTTGCACCAAAAACATTAAGGTTTACTCACATTTCCTGTTCAATACGTCCAGAAAAACACTCATGCCAAAAACTGCAAACATTTACTTTTCAATTCCCTCAGCAAAGGGGGACATCGGTGTACAGCTTGTTGAGATTAGAGTTTAGTTTTAGCACTTCTGGTACTAGGTGTTAGCTTCTTAATCTAGGCAGATTAAAACTTTATTTCTCTAAACTGTGGCTGCTCACAAAGCAACGGGTGAAATAACTGTTCATAACGTTCCACAGAACTCCACATCAAAATATCATTTTAAGCTTTAAAATCTGTTGTTATTGCCCTCTGAATATATTATATTCTAATTTTGCTTTCACATAACTAAAAGCGTAATACAACTGTTCCAACGAAGAACAATCTCATGTTTGTAATGTCTGCTTCAAAAGAACTAATAAAATAATACGTTGACAAGTGAATTATTTCCCCTCCACCTTAAATTGAAGCACGTGTTTGGGCTTGCCCTGAAGTGTCTGGTCCTTGTTTTGTCACAGAGACGGAGTCCTCTGGGCTTCAGCCGGGTGTCAACGGAGGGCTGCTGCGATGGACGCGCAGGTTGATGCAGGAGAAGTCGGACAACCTGAGCCTGGACGAGCCCCGAGCAGGTGAGTCGCTCTTCTTCTCCTGGGTCAAAGGTTACGTTCACACTGCAGGCAAATACGATCCAAATGCAGTTTATTTTTTTGCCCCTGTGTGATCCATATCAGATTTTTCACGAGGCTGAACGTAACAAGTCTGACCCAGATCTTTTTCATATTTGGTACTGGATCAGGTACAAGATGATGTACTGATCTATCTGATCTATTTGATGTTTTTCAAGGTGACCTCAGTCTGAACAGTCATGTTGCATTTCATCAGAAAGAGGATCAATCCGAGTATTAATGATAATGATACCCACCTTGTGCAGTTTAAATCTTTGAACTCTATGTCTTCAGCTGCCGAACAAAAGTCCAGTTGCTTCGTCTTTGTTCTTTTAATATCCCATGTCCTGGATCATTGAGAATCTGCAACAACATACTATGATGCTAACGTTAGTGTCTGACCGTATCGATGCTAGCATGATGGGACCGATGCTCGGGTTTATTTCTACCTTCAGTTCACCGCTCCCGCTTCCAAAATACAATGTTGTGCTGGAGAAGCCGTCAAGAGACGAGATTAAATATAAACACTGGCCCAAACAAACTTGTCAAATAATAATTTAATCAGTTCTGATTGCACAACTACTTCAGAATTACACAGGCTAACATCTGTAGCATCCATATTTACTTCCTTAAACTCAGCGTGTTGTGTGAGACGTCACATTTTCTTCCTCTGAGCAGTAAATGGATCACCCTGGAGTCTGATGGGAGTTGCATTTTAATGATGATATGAACAACCACGCCAAAAAAAGATGGATCTAAGTAAAAATAGTCGTAAGTGAGCAATAAAGGGCTCAGCATATTCAACCGAAGTCGAACCGTTGACTCGCGGTCACATGATTGCGGGATGTTTGTTTATGTGCATTCTATTTATAGACCACAAGGCACAGACAGAGCTCCTGGGAAACCCCTCCAGCTGCAGTACAGTGGTCCCTCACTACTTCTCAGTTCATTTTCACAAACTCACTCTATCGCGTTTTTTCTAAGTAAGATTGGACATGACACACAATCAGCTGATTGACGGATGAGCCGCACGAACGGCATGGAATATTTATTTAATATATATATATTTTAAATTATTTAGCACTTGCTGCACCTGTGTACAGTCCACAGCTGCAGGAGAAGCTTCCTCCTGCAGCATGTCAGTTCTCCGCTCCGCAGCGGAGAAGTGGGCGTGGCCGAGAGCGCTGGCAGAGAGCTGAAATCATGACATGCTGTGCGTTTAGAAAGTTGTTTAGAATATTGTAAGAGTGCGGGAAGGATTTAAAACAACTTAATATATACCTGTATATAAATACTAAAACTACTACTTTCTACTACTTGTGTACATAATTTCATTCCATCTCTATGTACCGCATGAGA